TCCTGCTGGTTCCCTTCTCTGCACTTCTCAGTGGTGTGAGGAGATCTGTGTTGTAAACACTGGGTTGCATGAAGATCAGGGACGATTACAAGGATAATAGCAAGTAAGCTTAGAACACAAGCATAAACGTGTCTCAGATTTGTAGATGTTTGGACAATTTTCCTGTCTTCTTACATTTCATCAATATTCACATTGTGCTTGATTGAATGCCCCTTCCTTATCACCACATCTAATTTTCAAGTTTAGTTCTACGTGCATTCAGCCAAGTTATCTGAGAAAGAACAAATCAAAACTGTTGATTTTTGCATGAATTTCCAATGATACAAAGACCATTTTCTTTCAATATTATTAAAAATAAAAATTAAAAGTCTGCAAAGGACTTGAGCAGTAATTCATCTTTCTTTCCTCTCTGCTGCATTTTTCTCTGGTCATATCCCCTCGTGTGTTGTCGTGTGAACCGAGCCCTTGCTTACCCTTGCCATGAGAGACTTCAATCGTCCACGTACAGTTCAGAGAGTTGGGGTAAAAGTCTGGGAACCCTGGAGAAAGGACAGTTCCACTCTTCCCATGGATGTAGCCTCCACACAGGGCTGAAAACAGCATAAAACATGAACATTCTACAATGATAACTGTATAAAATGCTTCTAAAATACATTAAATTTGCAAAGGAACCATACATGATAAATTCAAAGCCGAGACATTATTTTGTTGCCGTTATGCCGTGGTTCATGGATGTCCCTTCACCTCACACATCTATCACTTCACTGTTCTGAGAACATTCAAAATCCCTTCTGCTGACTGTTTTTAAACTGTCAACGAATTACTGACAGCCACAGTAACCCACTTCAGAGCCGAACATCGGCAGCTCTTCCTCCCACCTGGTGCCTCCTGGCAGCTCTGGTACCCACTGCTTCACTGGGTGCCCTTCTGCTGACTGTTTTTAAACTGTCAACGAATTACTGACAGCCACAGTATCCCACTTCAGAGCCGAACATCGGCAGCTCTTCCTCCCACCCGGTGCCTCCTGGCAGCTCTGGTACCCACTGCTTCACTGGGTACTTCTGTGAGAGCACCCATGTTGGTTTCCAAAGCTGGCAAAGATGAGGTGCCAGAAAGGACTCTAATATACTCTGCGCGATGGTCGGTTTTCATTGACAACTTGACACAAACTAGAATCACCTTGGAAGTGTCTCCATCAGGAACTGCCTAGATTAGCTTGGCCTGCGGGCAGGTCTGTGCAGGATTCTCTTAACTGGGTCAACTGAGGTGGGAAGACCCTGTGCTATGTGAGGAGAGGAGGTGAGCTGGACGGCAGGCACAGACATGTCTCCATTTCTCTCTGCTCCTGACAGTGTGAGTGACATCCCTGCTGTGATGGATTGAACTGTGAGCTGAAATAAACCCTTTTCTCCTGTAAGCTGCTATCTGTAAAGCATTTTATCATAGAAACAGAAATGAAACCAGGACACAGTGTTTGGGACTGTCAACTAGTTCAACTCACATGGAGAACACCATGAAGACACCACGGGAAAAGCCGCGGGATGCAGCCATCAGTGCTGGGTATGTGTCAGAGGAAAGGCAATCACTATACCAGACAGGAACACACAGTCCCACAGTTATGTTAGGAGTAGTCACAATTAGCCAAGATACAGAAACGACCAAAATATTTTTTGTCAGATGAGTTAATAAAAATTAAAAATAAAAACATAAAACATGGTGTCTTGACATACTAAAAGAACATTTGGCTATAAAAGGATGAAAGTCTGTTACTTGTCTTGGGGGCGGTGATGTAATAGCAAAAAAATCAGTCAGGCAGAAACAAATCTCATTACTTCTTACAGTATGAGAGTTCGGGGAGTTCTGCTCTGATGGTAGAAGGGGGAATTCAAAAGTTTCCCTTACTACCTGCGAGCTCAGTGACCTTCGTGAAACCACTGCCCTCGAACTTCAACATTGTTTTACGTTGAAACTGGGCCAAGTGATAAAGTTCATCTTAGACAGGTGCTCAAAATTACTAAACTGTAAATGGGATTTCTTGGTCTTCATGCCTCCATTAAACAAGTTCCATAATAAATTCCTACCTCTATGTACATGGGCATGTGTGTGCATGTGTGTGCATGTGTGTGCATGCTTCCACATGCTCTTATATTTAAATGGAAATAGTCCTCTGGACTTCCTGTGTGGGGGCACAAGGGTGACGCACATGTGAAGGTCATCACTGTTCTCACAAGCAGACATGGCTTACCAGCATGTTCTCCCAGAGATCTATGTGGTTTCTGGGGGAAGTTGAGTTCTGTGCATGTTTGCGTATAGACTTCTATCAAACTGTAGACTTCCTCTATCAAACTGTATGAAATTCACTATGATTCCAAGGTTCGTTTCTGGAATAAATTCTCACTGGTGTGAGTGTCATAAATTATGTTCATGACATCAATCAATGGTCCAACCCCAGTTTGTTGGCCTAATAACCACAATGATGGGCACAGGAATCTATATTGTGTCAGGAGTGGCACTTTTGTCTTGGGGGTAATCAGCAGCAACACAGTTGGATTTAAAGCCCACTCAAGTGTGGTACTGTAAGCCTACCCAAATACACATGGCTGGAAAGGTCACAGATCTTAGAGAAATCCCAAGGTTGTCACATCCCTAGATAAATTAATTTCTTACTATGTACTAAATACCATCATATTTGCAGACAAGTATGCCAGTCATTTCTCATCAAAGAAGCTTCTCTTGCAACAGATGGTGACTATTATAGAGTTCCACAACCGGTCACACACAGAATGTGTCTGAAATCCTCAATCCTAGGTGACACATCTATAATGGAACCTCTATATCTAAGACTCACGGAACATAGTAGGATGAGGGGTAGAGAGACTCCTAAGGATCGCTCATCAATGATGCTCCCTCACACAACAGAGGTTCATGAGCACAGAAAGACACAGATGGCCAAAGTCTAGAGAATACGAATCTGTGGGGTGTGAGTCTATTGTGGGGCAGAACTGTCAGAGCCGGGGAGGTGTTCTCCACCACGCAGTGACGCCTCCTCCTTCAGAAGGCAGAGTCTGCTAAGCATAGACGGCACTTCCTTTAGGTTTCCAAGGGAGGAAATGTGCAGGTTTATTGTGATGTTTACCAGGACCCCATGGCTACAGCTGTAGTGCCCTGACACTCCCATTATGAACATTCTGAATAAACTTTTCTCTGTGCACCAAGCCCATGTGTTTAAGGAAATGGAATTTGATATACAGAGAGGTGAACTGATATTCTCATCTAAACTTGAAGAGGGGAGAGGAAGGGACAGGAGGAAAACCTGACTTACAGGCCAGGGTCCATAGGAGCCTTGACTGTTCACAGTTGGCATGGGCTCAGCAGATCCACCAATTGAGCTGTATGGGATCTGAATTATGTGAACCTGTTTCCTCATGGTAGTTATAAAAGATCCAGTAAAACTTGACTTTTGTTTTCTTTAAGGCTGTAATTCGTGAGTTTGAGATTTCTATTCTGGTTACCATCCAGGACCCAAAGACGTTTTATCTAAGAGCTTTTGAGACAGAGGACTGAAATGTGCAGGAAGTAGGACAGGATAGGGAGGGACACAGGATAGGGAGGGACACAGGATAGGGAGGGACACAGGAGGAGAGCTTTCCTGCTGAGCTGAGGGTATGCTCCGCACCAGGACACAGCCCTCTACTCACCAGGTTTAGTTCAGATCTCAGCCTCCATTCCAAATTGCCCACTGAAGACATTGCCCCCTCCCCTGTGCCTCCTTAAGCTCTCGGGCACATACAACAAATACTTAGAGGTTCCCAAGATGGCATTCTAGTGGGAAAGCAAATAAGTTACTAAAAAATGCAGGTGACAAGCGAGAATTATTCTGCCAGTTAGAATGTCACGTTGCTTTCACCTCCCCAAGGGATCTAGGTGTTCAGCCTTGGAGGCCTCCTGAGAGGGCAGAGAAGGCACGTGATGTCTGTGCTTCGGAAGGTGGGTGGGTATGTGAGTGAGGACAGGGTGACAGGGTGCACAGTCAGGCCTGACACTCTCCACGGGGTGCCCTGCGGTATTCGGCCTGAAGCTGTTTCTTTGGCCTGTTCGGAGTGTCGCTGGGCTCCGCCTGCCTTCCCAGGAGCCCACAGACCTCCCTTGGGTGCTGCGGCTGCTCTTTCTACCACCTTCTACCTCCACCACTTTCCGGATCCCAACCAGAGTCATCCAGTACATCAACAGTTGTAGACTCAGTTACCACTGCCAGACCCAAGACACGGGATTTAGCAAGTTCACAGCTAAGTGTCTATCTTGATTGAGAAAGGTAAGCGTTGAGGATGGGGATGGTGTATGGGGACTCTATCTCATACCATGGCCATCTGCCATGAGAGAGAAGGTCTCTAGGAAGGGAGGAATAGGCAGCTAGATTTTGCTCTCTCCCTGGAAGATAGCACCCCACAGTGCCCACAGCAGTTGAAAATCCAAGACCATGAACTCCCCTTTCCAACAGCAACCGTTTTCTGGAACTTTTTCCCACTGCCTGCTCACTAAGCATGTCCTCGTGACTTAGTTCTGCTGTGTACTTCCATGTCATGTGACGCTTCCCCCTATTCCCCAGTTCAACTTTCCATTGTTCCTGGTGCTATGGAAGGGATCCAGGACCGCATGGCAGCTAGGTCAGTGCTCCTCCCCGAGCCTCGGCTCCCGGCCCTGCAGGCCTGCCCTCCTGCAGCCCAGTCCTTCTAATGTAGTTGGTCTCTAGGTCCTCTAGTCCTTTCTTCTCTGAACCAGTTCCATGTGAAAATGCACGGTCTTGTGTCAGATTTCTCTCTTTCCTCCCATTAATTCTCTCCCATTTTGGGTCCTCACATTATAGGCGGAGCTCCAATAGGGGGAGTTGTGTTTCAGTTCCTCTCCTTACAGTGTGGCTGGCAGAAGCTGCTGACTGAATTCTTTACTTAATTATACAGGAGTCCTGTTCTCCAAAGAAATACTGGAAAGACATGCTGTGGTTAAGGGCTACCCAGATGTGGCATTTGGGGACTTAGCCCCGCCCACCTTTGGTCCCATTCTCAAAGGTCAAGTATACTGGCTCTGGGCCCTTGAGTTTTGTGCTCTGAATGTCTGATCAGGCCCCAAGACTGGCATCAAATACTCTGAATTTTCTTTCTCATCTCTGCCCTCAACGATGAGTTTTCACCGGGCAAATCCTCCTGATCTCTCCTTGCCTTGAGTCAAATGATTTCTCCTGAGTCAGCTGTCTTGTGGAAGACGGACCTTGAAGACGTCCCAGCCCTCTCAGGAATGCAAGTAGTCAGTTCTATTTATTGTTTTTTCGTTTCCTTATCCCCAGCCACTTTTTCTTTGTTTGCTTATCTCATTATGTGATTTCAAACTTTATCTTTCTTCTCCTTAGGCTGTTGGATTATAACCTTTTAAATGCATCGCTACAAACACAATGGTTTCACAATGGATACTTCTGGAAAGAACAGATAGTTCTCAAACACACTTAACAACAGTATTTCCAAAGTGGTTCTCGCACCTTCCTTTTACCAAATAAAAGAAAGACAATTTATTTCATTGCTCAATTTATTTCTTCAAAACCAGAGTGTGCTAAGGTTCAGGATTTTAAAACAAACCAAAGCTGCACTTAGAGATGTGAGAGATACTGACATGGTTCATATTTTTCAGGATGATATAAAATATTATAATTAATTCTAATTTATGTTTCCTTGCTGAGAACTATGAATTTTTAAAGGTTCACCTTTCCTATGGATCTGTGGTTTACTGCAATAAACACCTGTGAGATTTAAGAGATTGTGTGAGATTAGAAAGGGCAAAGGCATTCTTAGAGCTCAGTGCAGTGAAGCATGGCTAAATGAAACTCTGCCAAACTCTTGAACTCCCCTGAAATTTCAAGATTTATTAATAGGCTTTTACCATAAACTCTTTATTCTTTGAAAGACATTCCAGTGCAGAATAGCAATAGCTTCAGAATTCCCTTAGATGGATCTGATTTCAAATTTACATAAATGTGAATTTTAAGACAAAAGTCGAAATGTCCAAGTTTAACAAGTGTTTTAATTTCTCTAGAACATGCCAAGCCCAAGTGGTCTCTCTGTAGCATCTTGGCCACTTGCAAAGCATGCAGCCACTCTGCAGGACTCTAGTTCTGCTTCCTCTCTCTAAGTCACTTCCTGTCCACCCATTGGCCTGGGGCATCAACTCCTGTTATCAGTTATCCCTGATGCCTACGACGCCCCCTTGCATGCTGCGTACTCTGGAAAGCCCCACTCCTCACTGCGTCTCAACTCTACTGTTGTTTTTCCTTTGAGTTTGTTTTTCCTTGACCCATCCTCACTATAAACCTAACATCAAAATTCAAAATGCATGTCCTATATGTATAACATATCTATATGTATATATCTATATATAATATGAAAACTACATGTGTTTTAAATATATATACTTTTATATAAGACCCCAATTATCTATCTATCATCTATCTATCATCTATCTATCTACCTATCTATCTAAAGACTGGGTGATAAATTTTAAAGTTAAATTCTATAGGGCTGCATGTTGGATGAAAGGGCAGTGATTTTGGTCACCTGGAGCCATGGCAGAATCCTGGGAAAGGATCACAGTTCACAGAGGGTGGAGGATGGCTGTGATCCAGGTACACGATATGACCATGCACAGAAGGAAATGGATGCTGTATGTGTTTGGCCTGTTTCGTTTGCTTACTTATACTGCAGTCCTGTTCTCCAAAGAAATACTGTAAAGATGTGCTGTGGTTAAGGCTACCCAGATGAAGCATTTGGGGACTCCTTAGCCCTGCCCACCTATCTCACGTGGGGTAAGAAGAGGCCAGAACATGAATGGATAATTCTATTTTCTAGATTACCTGTTGGGCAGAAATGGGAACTCATCCTCCTGAGATAGTAAAAAGACAGGAGCATCAGGTTACCAGTGTTGACTGGTGGATTCTTGGAAACATAATGCATAGGAACACACAGTGTTGCTGTTTGCTAAGAAGACTTCACCTCGGTATCAAAACTGAACTCAAAAGGGTCACAGTGAGGCAATGCAAGCATCATTCTACCACCGAGTCAAGGGCCTAGACCAGGGGTGACTGCTCGGTGGTGAGCAACGCAGCCAGAGACGCCACATGGTCACAGGCCTCAGCGTTTCAAGGCTCATGGAGGCAATGGAGAGTCTGCAACTAAACAACTGGGCCCAGTTCTGGGAGGCTGAGGCAGGAGGATCACAGAATTAGGGCTAGCCAAGGCTACGTGGTGAGATCTTGTCTCAAAACAAAACAAGCTGAAATGAATGACATGCGTCACGGCCCACAGAGGCCGTATGGGTGTAACCCCTTCCTCAGTTACAGGGCCCCTCTTCTCCGAGTCTTTACTGGCACTCATCTCTTGGCTTTTGAAAGCAGTCATTCCAAGAGGTATGAACTGAGAACTCATGGTTTAGATTGCTGATTTGATCACCACATTTGATGTACTGTCCAACTTGTGGGCCACGTGCACCCAAAGATGACACTGAACCCACTCTAATGCAGAACTACAAATTCACTTAAAACACGGCAAGAAGTTGTTTTCATACTTGGCCGTGTGGTTCTTGAGGGTGACCTCTGTCAATGGCCATCTCCTGTTGCAATGTCAGAGGGGTTGAACGGCCCAAAGCACATGACTTAGGGTGCATTTCATGTCAAATGGACTGATATTTGGAGATGACACTGGAATCACCATGTGCAGCAATGGATCGTGTCTCAGCCTTCTGCCAGGGCCCAGGCTAGTGCGGTCTTTATGGAGGGGACTGAAGGAAGCGGGAGCCCCATGTGCTTCCCGGCCGTGCAGCCCATTCACGTCACTTGTCCTCTGTGCCTTCCGACCAGGTGGCCCCCCAGGAGCAGAACTGGCCTCCCCTGTTTCTGCCCAGAGCCCAGAATTCCCTTTCCGATTCCATGTACTTGCCTAGGCTAGCCTTCATCTTCCGTGAGCTGTCTACCTAAGTGCAAGTACCCAGCACTGCCTGTGCGAGTGCTCTGCTGACAAGGTCAGAGACTCTCCATGTCTGCAGTACTGCAAACATACTGTTCCATGAAACCTGTTATCTGCAGCATTATTTTGAGGAAATCAAGGTGTTTATTATACATATAACATTTTAGAAGAAATGCCTAGTGTTTAAATGGATAATATATGCATATATAACTCATTTGCACATCCAATTTCCATACCTCTACATGCATCTAAAGAAACAACTGTACAGCACAGCCATATTCATAGTTAAAGCCTAAAAGCCAAAAGTGTTTACCAAATTATCACAAGTAACGTGTTTGCCCAGCTTTCAGAACGCAGCTGAACAACCATGTGGTGATACAAGGGACCCAGAGGACTACCAGGTTCTGTATTTCCACGAGCAGTTCTGTGTCGGGGGATGTGGATGACAGGGCAGGGACCCGCTGCTTACTTCCTACAGGCCCAGCAAGAATGTTCCAGAAGCATTTCCAGGGCCAGAAGGATGGGAACAAGTTTTGTGAGTTTGAGGAAGCTTCATGCTTGGACCCGGGTTACCTGGGTCGGGTGAGATTTAGAGCTGGCCATCTGAGACATGGAAAGAGACCACACTGTCCCTCTGACCTTTGGCCATGAAAGCTGTCTAAAGGAATATACACAGTGTGGGAGCAATGCTAAAAGGCAGGCCACAGTTTTCCATATTTCTAAACAGTCATTCCAGTTAGTAGAGAGCCTTTGGTGAGCGAGTTTTGGGTGTGCTATATTTAAGGAATACACTTCTCAAAGGTCAGTCACACTGGTCACCTTGTATCAGGCCAAACTTCAAGCACCACAGCCCATGTCTGTGCATGTGCTCCCCATCCCAGCTGTGCCTGTCTGCAGCCCACCTACCGTCACAGCTGGGCAGGGCGTGGTTCCACTGGTGACTCCTCTCACAGATCAGGGGCTCATCATCACTTAGCGTGTACCCAGGGTCACAGCTGAAGGTCACTGTGGACCTGACACCAAAGTTACTACCGTGCCGATGACCATTCACAGGGATGCCTGGGTCCAGGCAAGAGTCGGATTCGAGAGTCACACCTGTGTGTGCAGAGGAAACGCATGACTGGAGGGCCTTTGTGGCTAATTGAAAAAAATGCTGTATTATAAAACTATAAACTATCCCCTGATATGATCAGACCTGGGAAATTATCCAAGTGAACACTCCATTATTGAATATCATGTTGAATATCCAACAGTCCATTAATGTGAAAAGCACTATGTCTCCAAATATTTGACCCTGTTTTTCAAATTAAAGACATTTTCATACGCTCTTCTGCAGGTGGTGTTTGAATAGTAAAACCTTGAATAATTCATTGGCCTCCTGGAGTTTTACTTTTGCTCCCTAGAAAATCAATGAACTGTTACAGGAGCATTCTGTTTTCGCTCATTCTGAGTCACTAACCCTTCTCCTCTCTTTCCATATTTTATGTTCCAGTTAGGGCTTGGCCATCACGTCGTAACATTCATACACCTGCACACATACACCCAGACACACACACGTAGAATGCAGTTTAAACCAAGCAAGAGTTGATCTTCAAAAACTGCATTGCATAAATCTACACAGTTTATCTGCAGCCAGAGCTGAGCGATGAGGGAAATAAAGTACTGTATAGCGGGAATTAGGTCCCTCCTCGAGAAGCTCTCATTCCTGATTTCTACTTCTTTATAGAATAGCTGAATGAGAGACTGACAGAAGCAAATGTCCTTATAACGTTTACCTGCTCAGAGGTTTGAAGACTCTCTGATTCCTCCCCCAGTAACCTCAGGCCTTGAGCTGTGATCTGAGCTATCACTCAAAGTCCTAAAATATTTCCAACATTCTGACAGTCATGTCCCCAACAATGATCTCCTGGGTGACAATTCTGATCACCATTTAGGTTTTTCTGGAATTTGAGTGAGGAGACTTGAAGATAGGTTTGCCCACCTGAAGTCAAACACGTGCCTCATAAAATGCAGGGTGACCTTTAAGTAATTCTTGATGTCTTGATGGACGTTTCTGAGCATCAGGACCATCCTGGTTGTCCACGCGGGTTTCTGGGGATGGATCAACTTAGTGAAACCCACAAATGTGCATCTGGAGGTGCAGTTCAGGTGCGCAGGTGGCTGTTCCACCAATCACGCCCTTGTAGACACTACCACCAGGAGAAACTCTGAGGCTGGGCGTGTGCTCTGCTGAAGCATGCCCAGCTCTGACTTTGAACATATGCCAGGTCCACCCTGTGTCTTTTCCCAGCCATTGGTATGAACGGGGCACCCTCACGCTTGGAGAATAATGGACTTAATAAATGAACACATTAACAAGCCTGGGCAGACTGAGAACCCTGAACTTGCAGAGGTTTCAGAACTGACAGAGGTGGAGAATCTGCATTTCATAGGGCTGTGCGCTGAGCATCATGAGCATGGGGTAAATCTCATTCTGAGCTGTCAGTCCCTTTTCAGAGGCTAATCAATAAGAGGGAGAAAGAAAATCGACAAAAAGTAGATTGATTTTCCTCCAACAGTTTTCAAAATATTTCTATTGAGCTTTTGTACATTGCTTCCAAGAGTTCTTCATCAGATTCCCGAGCCCAACTGTTGTCCAAGGCGGTGCTGTGGGAACGGCATGGTTTAGTTTGCACAAACCACTTGAAGGCATGGAATTGACTTGGGTTTGGTTTTCTCAGGAACCTGGAGGCTGAGGAACTTTTCACCAGCATGTCTTTGACATTGAAGACAGAGCATCTGCACTGTGTGCTCACTGTGTGTTCAGGGTGTGTGGCTAGGTTAACATGCGTCATGAATATGAATGTGAGAAAAAAGAGAGAGCAGTGGAAGGGAAGGAAGGAGGGAGGGAGGGTGAGGGGCAGGGGGAGAGGGAAGGGAGGCGAGGGGAGAGGAGGGCCGACTCGGGTCAGTTAGTAGCTGCAGGCCAGTGTCCTTACGGGCTCCGTCTGTCCCTTGTCCAGAACTGGGCTGAGGGACGCAAGGCATGCTGGGGCGTAGCTGGGTTATAGTTGTGGTGGAGACAAACTGCTGCTTCAGCTGCCTACAGGTCAGGATGGTCCAGGGAAAGAGCCTAGGGTTACTGAGAGCACTTGAGTCTCTGCCTCCCCCACAGCAGCTGGAGCATCTGAGCTTGCTCCAGAGCATCTGCTTGTCTGAACGCCCTGCAGGTGACCAACCTTCAGGCCCCACACAGCCTGGTTGTCCCACTGTAAAAGCCCTAGACTGGCCCTTGTTTCTTTTCTTATGAAAACGCTGCACCCTGTCTCTCTGGCTCCTGTGCTTTGCCTCCATTCTCCTCACACAGATAATGGTGATAAATGACCAGAGATGAACACCCTAGGTGGAGTGTGGCATTGTATCCGAGAACATGGTTTCCAGCACAGCTTCAACCTAGAGAAACACAGAAGCCATGCCTGGTGCCTTCCAGAAGGATCCCTACAGTGCACAGTATGAACACCTGGCTGTTTACCATGTAAACAGATCACTGGGACTTGGGCTGCAGCAGGGCATTTCTGCTCTTCTGTGGCACTTTCTGCTCTTCTGTGGCATAGAGCCACCTCCAGTGTACACTGAAACAGGAGGCCAGGCTCTAGGTGACCCAGCATCAGAACTTCAGGCATCATACACGAATCCCTGCTACAGATGTGCCATTTGGTGACAATTTCCTTCCTCTACCCTTACGTAAGTTAAGCCTTGCTGACCTCATGAGTAAATGAGAACTCTGTGCTGGTGATACCTCCACACCGCCGTAGAGAAGGCTCTAAGGAAGGGTCACCTGCTCACTGACACTGATGCTGTGCCTGGAGTTCAGTGAGGGTGAGAAGTGATCTAGAAACTCCTGAGCACACTTTTCTGTCACTGTTTTGATTTTCTGTCAAGAATAAGAACAGTCTCTTGAGTTTCAGTTAGATGACCAGAAGAAATCCATTTCTAATACTGCTTTAAGAAAATATGTTCCAGGGGCTGGAGAAAGGACTCAGTGGTAAGAGCACTGGCTGCTCTTTCAGAGGACCTGGGTTTGATTCCCAGCACCCACACGGTGGCTAACAACTGTCCATAACTCCAGTTCCAGGAGATCCAATGCCCTCTTCTGGCCTTTGCAAGCATTGCATGACACAGGTACACTTACACACATGCAGGTAAAACACTCATACACATACAATAAAAGTAAATAAAAATAAGTTTTAAAAAGGTAACAATGTTCCAAATGCAGCCTTTGGAACACCAAGGGGCAGAGGAAAGGAGCACTTGGGTTAGTGCTTGTGAGTGTCTGAAAAAGTTTCTTCCACTGTTTTACATCCTATGTATCTACAGGCCAAATGGTTCTGCAAGAAGGAGGTGGCATGGGGGAAGGGACAGCAGCACTTGTGAACTTCCCAGGTTTGAATAATTGCACATATATAATTCTTCAAAGAATAAAGATCAGAGAGCATGAGACGGGGGTGGAGTATGACATTTCCCAACTCTCAAATCTTATTATATTTTAAGTTTTATTTTTATTTTATTCATGTGTACACATGTTACCCCCCCCGGGTGTATGTGTGTGTGTGTGCGTGTGTGTGTGTGTGTGTGTGTGTGTGTGTGTATGTGTGTGTATTTGTCATTGCTGTTTGGTATTTTTACAACCCAGACTGCCTTGAACTTACTGTGTAGCTCAGGATGGCCTTGAATGTCTGATCCTCTTGCCTCTCTTTCCCAAATGCTGGGATCACAGCCTATACTACCAGTCCAGTGAGATTGTTTTGGACAATGATAATATGACGTTTAAAGTTTGTTTTTAGTGTTACTTTACTTTGAAGCCTGTTCACCATGCACTGTAATTTACTGAATGGCAGGTCAGCAATAGAACCAATCTCCACA